TGGCCCAGAACCTGATGAGCAACCCCGATATCATGAACAACCTGATGAGCAACCCGAGGCTAAGGGACATGGCCAGCCAGTTCGGCAATGGAGGTGGCATGCCGGATATGTCTTCGCTCATGAATGACCCCAACATAGCAGATATGTAAGCCTTGGACCATAACCACCCGTACAACGCATGTCATACGAAAACACAAGCTAACACCTTTCTTAGGGCACGTAACTTGATGGGTGGTGGTGCTGGAGGTGGTGCTGGAGCCGGAGCCGGAGCCGGAGCCGGAGCAGGCGCCGGACCGGGAGCTGGTGCTGGCAACCAATAGTTGCCCGTGTCCATATTCGCCCAGTATGATACCTTCGTCTGCCGCCATCATACGGCTTGGAGTTGATCGACGCACATAATTTAGAAGTTTAGCATCCGAGCCTGCAAGCAACATCAGACTTGTTATCGCGCTCGATTCATTGTCACCCAATCACCAGAGACCATCGTCACTACCCTCCATGAACAACGTTGCCGACTTTGTAGCAGTGGTGCAATGTAGTAGGATTCATCACTCGTCTTACACGCCCCCGAATCACTGACCTTCGGCGCCAGGATACCGAGTTGTCAAAACATGAAAGAGATTTTCTATTGGTTCAGGGATTTCAGATATCTCCTTATAATTTTCATTTCAATTTGTCACAATGCTTCTCGCGGATCTGCCCAAGGGATCACGACTCCTGACAATGTGGAAGACAACCGCTGGAAGCACTATCTCTCGCCTGCAACCGCACGCACCTTTGCCTTCCTAAAACGTTAGCTCTGAGTCTAAGCACACCCTCATTTGTCCCGCCATTTGAATATTACAAATTGCCAGTCACTAACAATCGCCTCTCAGTAGAGCTGGAAGCGCCACCAGCTAAAACTGCCCTTTCTGCGCGCTGCGACCTGACTTACATTCTTGCAGGTTCGTCTATTTCCTGCAATATCGTGAGTCTTGCACTCATAGAGGTGGGCGATGAAGTCCGAGTTGCTTTTGATGGAGGAATAGATGTACTGGAGCGACTTTTTCGGATATCACCTTCCGAGTCCTTCACTTGACGCTATCATTGTGTCTTTTGATCTCGAGACCTCGGGAACCAAGTGACACAGCATACGGCCGAACAGGAAAGAGGTCAAGGGTGTGATAGAGGTGGGTTCTGCGGTTCTCGATACCCGGTTCATATTTTCCACTGAGCAAGAGTCGACCCAATCTCTCCCAAAGTCTGGGCTGCCTACAATCTTGACAGCAATTCTCTATGTCTCATTCTTCTGAACACTTCGAGGACTGTGACTCATTGATTTCAAGGAGTGTATCTTCACAAAGACCCGCTATGTTGCGAAGGATCATCTAGTCGACACTATTACTAGGTGTCCGTTGTCCAGAAGACATCACCCCTCAGGACACGAAGTATGATGACAAGGACAATTAAGCATCTCCCGGCCTATTTATAGTCGTTATCGTAGGCCACTCCCCCAGTGCGACTTAGAGATCATCCGACCGCTAGGCGTCTCAATCAATCGCATTGTACCCATCGCCGCCATCATCGATACCTACAGACTAAGCAGGCACATCCTCGGCCCCGACTCCCCACTAAAGAAAGGAGGACATGCTCCGCTGCAGAAACACGCCCTCTCCGATGTACTGACGGAGCTAGGCGTTCCGTATAACTGATACGATCTGCACAATGCCGGCAACGACGCCACGCACACGCGCCAAGCGCCGATTCTGCTGGCCGCCCGATGGGCTGAGTAGAACAGCGAAACGGCAGCGGCAGCGGCAGGGGTGCTGTATGCATTTGTCAAGGGTGAACTTGCGGTGCCGCGGTGGATGTCCGTCAGGAAGGCATTAGGGGTGCACCGTGCCGAGGAGTAACTACAGGATCCGGTCAAGAGGCTGGGAAGCGGGTTGGTGGCGGTTGCTGAATCTTCAAGTTCGAGCTTGAGACAAGAAGAGTAGATAAAGCCAGGCTGATATCAGGCAAGTGTTGTCCATTGCCATAGATTTGGTCTTCCGGCTCCTATAGCAAGTCATCTGTATCAGTGGCATTCACTAGGATGACCGAGAGCCAAGACTTTGCGGCTTATATGTGCTTTCACATGAACAAATTCCCTCATTTGAAAATTCCTCGAAGGTCATTCCATCAGCTTCAACAGGGGGAAACCTCATAATTTGGGAGAAAGAGACCGCAAATTGCCACAGACGACAAAAGGATGCCGTGACGGCTGTCTGGTATGGCTGATTCTCAGGGCCATACGGTATTGCTACCTCCGGCCAAATGCTACCGCTAATTACCCATAAGTAGATGAGGCCAAGATATATACTTCCAAATTGAGCCTCATTGGCGGAAACATTCGCAGCCTTCACGGTGGTCCAGCTCCGGACCAAAGACGGGAAGACCAAACTTTCCACAACTGCTTCACTACGCACTATCAGTCACTGATGCCCAGATGTCGAGATTGATAGCCAAGTACCGATAAAGTTACAGAATCATGTTTCATTGCGGGAATCGTTCCCACCAGACGAGAAGAACCCACATGGCAATGCCGGGCCTCAGTCTTATGCTATCAAACGCGGAGGATGGGCTCCGAGTTTGTGGTTTCCAAAGTGGAAGGTCTAGGGCAAATGCTGGTCCAAGTGGACCTATATGGCAGTCTGCAGTCGATTTTAATATTGATACTCGGATCTCGATGCTTATAAAGAGTAGCTGTATTTCCTAAGGTTAGGGTGACTAGTTGGGCTTGACGAATACCATCCGCACGTTGATTGTGTTTGATTCAAGTCAAGCAAGACAAAGATGAAGCAATTCGCTCCCCTACTCGCCTTCGTTGCCTCGGCATGGGCTCACGGCTATGTTGACAATGGTACAATAGGAGGAGAGGTTTATACGGTATGATCACCATCTAAAACAATGGGCGGGGCCCTACAGTACTGACCAGCCATAGTTCTACCAACGTAAGCGCACCCCGGACTCTCTACCTAGGTAGCGAAGGCTACGCATAGTCTTGTAAAATCAACATCATATTGACTCTAAGGAACCAAGCATACACGGACCCTTACTATTCCACTCCGGTCAGCCTCGACTCCAGTGTCCTGTCCCCTTGTTACGTGATTCATCCATTTGCTCACATTTTGAATCCAAATGCAGCCTGAGAGGATCTCACGCCCCATACAGGGCAACGGCCCAGTCACAGATCTCACCCTGATCGACCTTCAATGCGGCGGAGATACGGCTGACGGCGTTGTTGGGAGCAAGCCTGCCGCCCTCCATGCCTCCGCCGCCGCAGGGTCAACGGTCACGCTTCACTGGACGCTCTGGCCTGAAAGTCATGTCGGCCCTGTGATCACATATATGGCTCAGTGTCCAGATACAGGCTGTCAGGATTACCTACCCGGGAATGAGTAAGTACTGGGCCCCCCTCACCTCAGGATTTCAAATACTGGAATGGAAACCCGTCCAAGGGAGTAAGCTGACACGTTCATCCCAACTTCACAGTTCCGTCTGGTTCAAAGTTGCAGAGGCCGGTCGTGATGGTACCTCGGATACTTGGGGTGATGTGAGTTCCCGCACCATCAATCAGCTGTCCCTGTTGAATAATACCGCTGATCAAGCACACAGTCCTCCCTGATGGTCGCCGGCAACGCTGGCGTACAGTACACCATCCCATCCTGCCTCAAGGCCGGTTACTATCTCGTGCGACACGAGATCATCGCTCTCCACTCCGCTTATTCGTACCCCGGAGCTCAGTTTTACCCTGGCTGTCATCAACTCAACATCACTAGCAGTGGTACAACCACCCCGAGCGACCTCGTCGCCTTCCCGGGTGCTTACCAGGCGACTGACCCTGGGATCACTTATAACGCTTATCTAGGTAAGTTGGGAATATTGGACTTGTTGTGTCTACGTGTATCTTGTGAGGCGTGTTACCCAGGCTAACATGCAATAGCAACGAATTACACGATACCGGGTCCGGCTGTCTTCACCTGCTAGATTAGCAAATGGTGATAAAAGTCAGGCCAGCATAAGATCGAGATTGTGAGAAGTAGGTTGACATGAACAATGCTGTCGCATCAGGGTTTTCCTCTCGGCAATCCACCAGGGGGTAGTTGATTATGGGAAAATGACATCTGGATGAGACGTCTGCATCTACTCGTTATTGGTTGATGAACACTTGTTTGGAGAGCTTGTGCGAAGAATATTGAGAATTGAAATGACAAACCTGACCGTATTGTAGAAAATTCCACATAGAAGAGCTTACTGAGTACTCAGTGAATCATGTAAGTGGTGAGTCACCGGCTCTGAGATCCAACATTCGCAGGGAGGGAGCACTTGAGACCGTTTCGCTCTGCAGTCCTCGAGACCCCATGGGAACCTAGCCAGGACATGTTCAGAGCACTTTTCGACGTTTGGAAAAGCTTACAGACTTGTTCGGATACTTGTTGGACTTCCTTAACCGAAAAGCCACTGAACGTTGAGACCATCTTGTGAGAGGGATTAGAGACATCGTTCCTCCATACTCCTCGAATAGATCTTAGGTAACCAGAGTAGCCGCGGTCCTCGACTCCATGCTGGTGTCCAGGCTCAGGCTCAGGCTCCCGGTATGTGTTTTGTCGCCGGCTATCACCAGGGCCATCTCCCCTTGCAACTTTTGATCCAGACCATGTCAACAAAACACACCACCAGTTTGATCTGATGGTACTTCGAGCCACCTCATGCGTTTCGGGAGGGATAAGTACACACATTTCGCGATCGTCTTGCCTGAGCAACCGATTCAGGACTTTGTGCTACTTCTGTCGCACTTGTGCTGCGTTCATTCTTGAGACACTCCCTTACAAGAGGCTTCACTCTCTACTATGTACCAGCAGCGTCCTCCCTTGCCATTGTACTACGGTGGAGGGTTGCCAGGGTAGCAGTGGGCTGTAGTATAGATATAATACCCCCTAAGTTGCGTCTTCCAACAACAAGACATCAAGTTCTTCTCAGGTCTGGTGGTCTAGTGGTATGATTCGCGCTTAGGGATTACCCTGAGTAAATTGCGCGAGGTCCGTAAGTATTATCACACATTCAATTTCAACGTAACAAAGCATCAATTCTAACAACATCATAGCGGGTTCAATCCCCGGCCAGACCCGAAATATTCATTTTTTGACACTTTTTTGCCCAATATATTTCTGTTGCTAGGTGCCTCTATATAGGGGAAGAGAAATTACTTGGGTTATTCTGATTTCGTTAATAGAGCAGCAAAGATTTTCTCTGTGGAGTTTCCAATTGACCCACATCAAAGAGCTATGCTACGCTAGTCTCACATGCATGGCCTCCCGTCCCGCCCCGTATCGTGGTCCCTCTGATGTAAGATGATTGGCTGATATTTCTTTTCCTATTTTCTGCGGACCTCTAGCATAGACAAAAGTCATATGCAGACAGGAGCCAGGAAGACACAGAGGCAGTTGTCCTGGTAATATGTATGTGCAACCTCTCAGTTGCAGCGATGAGGTTCAACAACGTCCCTTGTGCCATCACCTGGGTGCGAAGGCGGCTCTGTGCTTGAACCGCCATCAGAATCATGTGTGACATCTGGAGAGAGCCTGTGGAGGCGGAGACATCGTCTATATCTTCGTCACTCTCGTACATGGGAGTTATCTCCAAGAGGTCTTTACCAGTGGCACTCAAGTCCCAAATTTTTGTATAATGTTCTCCTTCACTGTGAAATCCCCGAGACTGAGTGAAGCCGCCCTGGGCAGTTGCCCACTGCGGAGCGTCCATAGTAAGTGGAGGATGACTGACAGGAGCCAGCACGATCAACCATCTCATAAAGACGAGCTTGACTAGACACGAAAAGTCGGAAGCGCGGGTTGGCATATGTCGGAACATTGATACAACTCCAAGTGATGCGTACCGGAAGACTGACGATGTCCTGGACGTCGTACATGTTGACAAGACTCTGGGGATATGGTGTCGTGTCTCCTTGCAATGTTGGTGAGGTGGTGTTGGTGTCTCGATGCATGAAGAAAAGGGGAGCATGACTCCTTGGAGATTGAGGTTTCTGAACTCCTTGAATACGGCAATGATGTATATGGAGAGGTGATGATATCCTGCGAGCTAGGAGACAATTGGTCTTGAAACGAGGTTGGAGCCTGCAAGTAACATTTCTCTTGGGAAAGGTAAGAGGCCCAAGTAGCACTTGAGGTAAGGGAGATAATCTTCCCAACAGTATAGGCTTTCTGGAAACTGGCAATGTGTGCTTGGAACTCTGACAAGGTTTGAGCCCTGGCTTGATTTGTATCCGAGTGACACTGTTGACTTTTGCGGATGTAGCCATGGCCTGGCTGCCGACACCTGAATTTGTGTTCTTTTACCTCGGGTTGGTGGCTTTTATGGCATCACGTTGCCATGTTCACAACGCTGTTCAGGTGTCTGCAGGGCAATCAATGCCATTCGGGAGTTGATTGTGATTAATTGGAGAAAGAAAGAATGGTGTGTGGTTGATTGTCATAGATAAAAGGGCGATCGAGTGTTTACTACCTACTAAGTAGTCAGTACCTACCTAGGTAGGTTGGTATATCAGAGACCTTTTGATAGCCGCCCTAAACAAACCCGTTATACATTCCACACGTCAAGCATTTATACCTACCCAGGTCCTCAGTAGGTACTGTTTAGTGCCTACACCCGATTACTTGGTGAGATAGGCACAATGACGTGACGAGACCAAGAGGGAAGTCCACATGAAAGCAACGAGCAACCAGGGAGGAACCAGACGATCACACTTGGCACGGTAACAACTGCGAAGTGAGATTGCAGTTAATGTAGGAGCTGGGTCACATCGTAGTAGGCCAGAAGATCCCTTCCAAGGTAGCCAATTGGACGAAGGTGAAGAATCTCGTACTCTTGCCTGGATCGTGCATAGATTCAGACGACACAATCCTGTGTTGATATGATGTTGCCCCATGACAATGGTCTTCCTGATTGGCCTTATCGTGTACATGTAGACCCATGAGCAAGACTATTCCAGCCGCATCTTCTCTCCATGCCTGCGATGTGCCTGCTCCCCATCAAGCCAAGGCCTTCTTCTGTCCAGAGGTCACATATATCTCGAATCTGACGTAGGCACCTGAATCGATCTCCTCACGTGCTCGTTTCTCCGTCAGCTCCACCTCATCAGCCGTCATGGAGCCCGGGACGCCATTCGCGGCCAGCTTACGCAACCAGTACAAGATAGCCACCATCCCGTTCAACCCTACCGCCTTCCTCGTCTCGGGCACCCTGTCGGAGCTGACACAATCACTCCCAACGGAATCCAAGCCCGCTGCTCGCATATCAGCCGGGAGCGTGCTCCACCCGCACTGAAAGCGCTCACGCATCTCCTCACGCCACATGTGGGCTATCTTCACAAGCGTATCGGCGCTCGAAGACCCCAGCTGCCCACCCCGGAGATACTTTGACGAGATGAAATCACACTCCTCCCATTGCATCCAGCCGCCGGGCTTGACTAGCTGGGCGAGATTTCGGACGATAGTGTTCCACTCGTCCGGCAGGATGGCTGCTACCAGGAGGCGCGCATGTACCAGGTCATATTTGCCATGAAGCTCTTCTGGTACTGGCTCTTTGATATCCAGGACCTTCAAGTTCAAGTTGGCTGGAGTAGTAGCCGGATACATGGCAGTGGAGATGTCGTATCCGTCTAACACAGCATCGGGGTAGGATTGCTGAAGGACTTCTAGGAAGTGGCCTGTGCCGGTCCCAATGTCTGCAACGCGAGCGTTTGGAGGAAGGGTGGCGGCAATGTGAGGCTTCACAAGGTAGCCAATGTTCCTGTTCATCACCTGGACAGTCAGTCACACCTTCCCGGGACCGAACAAAGTATAGAGACGGCACATACGTAGTCAAGAGGTCAAAATGATCATCGAGCCTTTCGAAAAATATGGTATTAGCCATATGCCTTCACGACAAGCAGACTTGTGTGAAATGGGCGGCTTGGGGTTGTACCTTTGAGCCTCACCCGTGGATCGGGTCATTTTCTCGCTGTAAATGTCAGGCATCTTGGCGGCCTTGTGTGGAAGAATTATATAGAAGGAGGAACTGGTCAGGAGGACCATCAAGAACAGTTGGTACGACTATCGTCCAGTTTATAGGCAGGAGTATTGGGCCGAGCGACAGTTGGGGGCATATTACTTGGTCCAAGGCCTGCCGTGTGTCTATCAATTATGATCGGTTCATACAGGCAGGCCGACAGAAAACCCAGTTGTTGTTGGTTGGCCTTTAGTTGTGGAACGAACCAACACCCAAAGCGGGGGTCACATTTTATGCGTTCCACACTGTCAGCAGTTGGCATCACGAAACACAGTATTCAGCTATCCCCATGTTCAAGGTCGAGCCACACCTTTCTTCGAGCCTTATGTGTATCCTTATTCCTGGTGAAAATGGCACCTGACCTTGGGTGAAGCATATCGTGCCAGTCTAATCTTGTGTTCTGATTTTTTGCGCCATCGAGAATTTCGAAGGCAGCATGATGGAACGACGTAATTTCATTAGTCCCTTACGATCTCTGGTGTTAGAACTCTGGAAATCTAGATAGGTCGTAATATCTAACCTGACCTGAGAAAGTGCTATATTCTTGAGACCAGGACTGAAGGAGGTGATGGCCCTTGGAGCTGCGGCACATCCACACATGCCAACCCTGGGAAAGCTTGGAGAGACTAGCAAGACGAGGCCCAGGGAATGCATTGCAGCGGTGGAAGTACAGCCGATACATCCCGATACTCAAGAGCAGACTGCCAATGTAGATGCTAGAAACGAAAGCTGTCCTGGTAAAACGCTGGAATAATGCACTATTGGAAGATTCTGATGTGGTTCTCAAGGCAAAGATGAGAATAAAGAGAAGAGTATGACCAATGACAATTGCTGGGGCTTGATTGTGCCACTTCCCACGGATGAAAACGCCATGATGCATGAGAATACCGAGTAGACATGGAAGAACAACGCTTGTTGTGCTGGTCGACATTGTGTTTTCCATACTAAGTGGTTGTTGTTCGATTCGGGATGTCAAGGACAAGTCATACCAGAACAGGTCAGAGGGAAAAAATTGATTTCTTTTATATTCTAGTTATGTAGTAACACTCGAGACAACAGCTTAAACATACAATGCGCTTTTTGCAGAAGACCGATATTCGCTTTTAGATAATGAGCCTATGAGTGCTACAAGCAATTTTCCAAGACAATATGCATATAAGTGATGCTGTCGTCAAGATGGACTTCTGCATGCAATTGATCAAGTACTGAAGCATCCCGAGGTCTCTGGGAATTGTATCGGCCTTCCTCCGACCGGCGATGCACCAACAAAAGCACTGCCACTTCCAACAGTCCATTGTGCCACTCTGGCGTAGTATTTAGACGCATTTAACCGCAGGTTGTGGAGCAGGCAGACCGAATATCAGCCAGCCTTCGATCCCTGATGCATCACCTTTATGCTCAATGGCTGCATTGCCGGCTTCCGGATGGCTCGGCTGTTCCAGTCGGAGTCCCAACATCCGGGCCACGGATTTGTTTACCTGATCAACAGTCTTCGTGTGACTTGCATACTTATGTACTTAAGTAATTGAGCGGACAGGAGCCCTAACATAACCAAACATCTGGACGTTCACTCTGCACATGCGGGGAAAGTCGGCGCAAAAATAGAGAATTTAGCTAAGATTTGTTGCTCTAAATCATTGAAAGTTATTACGATAACAACATCAGGCAGAATGATGTCTCTATTACGGACTCGAACGCATCGGTGAATTAGCTTGCGAGTGGCCCACATGTGCAGCTACTAAACTTGGTGCTTGCTCTGAGGATCCTGCCCCCAGTGCCCCCCCCCCTACTTGCGTTGCTGCGTGTAATGGGAAATGATCTGAATAGTGATTAGCCCGGCATAGGTTTTCGAATACAAAAGCACTGATCACATCGTCCTGCAGCTACCTGAGCATAATGATTAGCGAAGAAGAGTATCGGCTTTGTTCCAGACATAGAAGTTAATTACTCTTCTTCGCGGGTAATGGAAACCTGGGGCAATCCACTACTCATTTGTATTGGCCATGGAACACTCAACTTACACTAAGTATGTGTACCGTGTCCTGATGTCTCCGTCTCAAAGCC